TGGACATTGTTGGATATTGAATAATGATTAGTTACTAAATCAAGGCTCAGACTAAGAAGTAAATAAATGAAAGGCTTAGAGTACTATTTTGAGGTCAAATGTATAGAATACATGTCTTAATTTTATGATATGTTAATTAAGTTTGTTTCAACGGGCAAGATTTCGGTTCGAAAGGCATTAAATATAAGTAATGGCTGTCTTAAGTAAATGGATTATCAAAACGTCATTGAATTGCTACGAGGATTGGCTGTCGTTTTGCTTTTGAAAAATCATTTCTAATTAATTGTTGTTAATTGCTAAGAAAGTATTGTTTATAATTGCCTACCAAACCATGAAAAATAACCATAACTCATAACATTTCAAGTTTTTGTGAACGGTAACTGATTTAAAGCGAAAAGAACGCAGTTTTGGAATTTAGTTCAGCTGTAGAATTCTGTATTTAATGAATAAACATTTTTTTATTAGAACTGAACTGTATTCACTTTATGAAGTTAATCATGACTTGGAGGTCTGCATTTTCTGAATGGAAAGGTAAACATTTAATCCTATCATTACCAAGTTAAATAGTCACATTTAGAAATTGCAAAGCCGTTGTTGTTATATTTAGAAAATTGTTATTATAGAAACTAAATGAAGTAACATTTAGCCGGTGCATCTGTATTTCCTGTATATTAAAATATTTAACTATCGTCTGCTGAGTTTTTTTCATCAAGAAAGCATTAAAAATAAAAATGCTTGTCAGTATAATTGGCATACGATAATGACCTTTAATAGACTTAATGCCAACGTCAGTGATTAGAATCATCATCTCTTGCTTAAAGGCAAAACTTTAGAATTTAGAATGCCGGCATTAGGATGAATAGCATTATTTGACATTTTAATATTCTAAGAAGAATTGTTGTTAGTTTGATAGACTGTGAGGAGATATAGTTACATATTTTAAAATATATTCATATGGAAATACTTAACAGGATTATATTTGATCTTGTCCAGTTACACTATCAGGCGGAAGTCTTATATATATACAGTTAGTTAGTTAATAAGGTTCATAATGAATTTTTCAGATTGATTCCTTTAAACTTATTATTTAAAATGCTAGCAAGCTAGAAACAGCTTTTAGTACTTTGAATTTTATGTAGCAACCATAATCTTGTAGAGACATTAGGTTAATTGGAAAAGCCGATGAGATGAAAAATTAGCCTTCCCGCCTTCGCCGGGAATCGAACCACGGACCTCTGGAATACCAGCCCAGCGTGCAGAACCACTACACCACAAAGGCACGCTAGAAAAGAGGGAGAAATACTTTACATACTCTCCTTTTTAGAGGGCGACTGGGGTTTTTAGGGGACCCAATCGCCAAATCTGGGTGCGGAGAATCATCATCCAACACCCTTTTAGTTCAGGCGCCACTGTTTAGAAACATTAGGTATTTTGAGGAAGCCGGAGAGATAAAAAATTAACAACGCCTAGGCCGGGAAACGAACCATGGACGTCTGGATACCAGCCCACTGTGCAAACCACTACACTAGGAAGGCACGCCAAGAAGATGGGAGAAATACCTTACAAGCTATAACTGTCGAAACTTTCAGTAGTTGCGCTAAAGTAAGACAAATACAAGTACTAAGTTATTATAAAGACTGAGCTAAGGATTTATAAACACCGAGTTCAAAACATTAAAATACGTTAGCATCAGTGGCTTTCTATTTAAGTTACTATAAAGACTGGTTACTAACTCAAATAGAAGTTACTATAAAGACTAACTTTTATTTAAGTTGCTATAAAGCTTCCTATTTAAGTCACTACAAAGTTACTATAAAGACTGGGCTAAGGTTATAGAAACACCGAGTTCAAGACATTAAAATACGTTAGCATTAATGGCTTCCTATTTAAGGATTAATCAAACGTAATACCATGTTACGTGAGTTCTGTAATGTTGAGATTTGCGCGAGTTTTCTTTGGAATTAAAAGTTGATTGCGTCATTTTGTTGCAGTGTTTTCCCAGAAATGTTATGATGATACTTGATACGAGCGTCTCTTAATCTCTGTGATAAATTCCATAAAGAAATACTTGAAGTACTAGAAAAACAGAACACATTTATTGAGAAAAAAACACATTCAGAGGACTCGAAATTTGAAATCAGGATAAACTGGAATATTCATTCTTTCAGCCTTTCTATAAAAATTTCTCATGAATGAATCTTTAAAACATTACAAATTTAACAATGAAACCAATCATTAGATTTAAAACATTTTGATTTTATCTCTAATAGGAAGAATGAAAAGGAAGTGAAGCCATTTCACGAAAAAGATGCAAACGTTCTTAAGTACTTGAAGCAAATATCACGATGTTTTATTCTGTAGCTGTATAAGCATAACAACATAACCGATGCTAAAAAGCTTATTGACGTCGTATGTCATGACATGGCTCCAATATGCATTCCAAGAATTGTTTTTCAAAAGGAGCAATTGTGATTCTCGTCATGAAAGAAAAGATCTTGACCTTTTATGAAAAGGGTCACATTCCCCCACTCTCTCGCAACCCTTGACGGCTCGATTACGTCCCGCCCAACTTAACAGAAAATAAAAAAGAGCTTAGAATCGAAAGATTTCAGTTAAAATGGAAAGGAAATCAAAGGAGTTCTAATTCTTCAATGTCTTACTCTAAAAATGATCTATAAAATTTCTAAAAATAGCTTATGAAAACTGACATATTACTGATGTTTATTTTCAAGTTTTTTGTTGTTGTTTTTCTAAATATAAACAAATTTTTATTGGATGCCATGGAAAAGTAACTTGTTCTATGAAATATGAAGAAAAACTTCCAATTTGTGTTTAAACGTTATTCTTATTTTTAATTATAGTTTTATTGTTACTATTAAATTTTTTATTTTCAGTTCATTAATGTCAGCATTATGAAGAATTAATATCACATGCTCAACTTCAAAGGTATTCAGGCTTTTCAAATGTTTAACGTTTTTGTTTATAAAAAGAATTTATAGAAATTATTTAAAACTTATCATCAGTTTTATGAGATTAAAAAGAAATTTCGATCTGTTTTAGTAAATAGATTTCAGTTTAATACCTGAATTAATTACTAGCTAAGTAGTCATGAGAGGTCAATCAATTTAAAAATTACACCTCTAGAAATCAAAGGTACAAAATATAAAGTTTTATATTTAAAATAAAATGTTCAAAATGATAGGAGAATGAATCGATATGAAAAAACGTTATACAATGATATCATTTCATTGCAAATTAATGTTATGGGAAAACATGGCATTTATTTAATAAAAAAATGACTTAATTATTCGAAATGTAGCAGTGTGTTTACTTCGCATAAGGCTGATCTAACACAATTCAAACTGCGATTTTAGAAAAATAATGTATACAAATACAATTATAAAAAATTTTATTCGAGGAATAGATTTTGAAATATGCATTTTTAAACAAAAATAATTAATTTTATAAAGTACTTTTAAGCCTGAATATGGGTTAAAATATACAAATTTTATGCTCCAAAATCAATAAAACAAAAAGGATTCCAACATAACTTTGAATCGTGCTTTAAACAACATATTGTTACTATCGAGCGCTGCTACATTGTGCCAAATAATGAAATTACTGTATTTTCAGAATTTATTTAAGCAAATATGTCTACTATCAAAAAGTAACAATGAAAGCAATTTAACAAAATAAATCTTATTATTTATAAACATGCTAAATCTTATTATTTATAACCATGCTTTTTTAAATTCCTACTATTAGCTCTTCCTATCTTGTTCAAATTTTCAATCGTTAATAAAATACTTTCTATTCATCTACTCAAGTTCAAATACATTTTTTTAAACTTGTAGTAGATGACACTTGATATAAATACAGTTTTTTCACATATTAAAAATTTTAAAAATTTTTAGTTTAAAATTTCCCCCCCCCATTTAAATTTTTTTGCATTTTTAAAATTTTTCTCTGTTTACCTAAGTAGGAATTGACTTTAAAAATTTTGTAATTAATTAATTTTCAATCGCTAATAAAATACTTTTTATTCATCCACTCAAAGTTCAAATACATTTTTTTTAAACTTGTAGAGGATGGCCCTTAATGCTAATACAAATTAATCACATAAAATTTTTTCTAAATATTAATTTTTAAAAAAAATTGTATTTTCCCCCGCCCCCCCTTTTTTTTAGTCCAAAGGGACTTTGTTCCTGAAGGACTATTGTTTTCGTTTTGCGATTTTGCGTTTGTTCACTATAAATGTCCGTTTCACTTTTCAAACTGTTGCCACCAAATATTAGAGTCCTGCAATATATTTGAAGAAATTAAATAATGAAAAATTTGCATAAATGTATTTCTCGCAATATTTCTCGCATTGTGATAAAAACAACGGTACATAGAGCCATAGAATTTTGAAGGACGTAATCGTACTGCGAATATGGGCATGTAGATGCCCAAATTTGAAATTTGGAATTTGTTTTATTATCGATTTCATATTTTGTAAAACTTAACGAATTTTTGACTAACGAACTCAATGATTTAAATGCGAGCAATGGCAACACTCTACGAGGCAGAGGGGGGGAACCTTTTTATTTCCAGCGCGCAGAACTGTGTATCGGAAATTCTAAAGATATGCTCATTTTAAAATTGTTTTGCGATAATTTCTGTTGTACTGAATTTCATGATTTAAGTGCGAAGAACATGATATTTAATAAATAAAGGGAACACACAAAACGTTAAAGAAAAAGCCCCTTTGGTCGTAATTTAAAATCTGAAACCTTTTAGATTTATTTATTTATTTATTTTTATTTTAAAATTTTTTTCTTTGTTGACGTAAATAGGAATTGACTTTATTTTTTTTACATTACTTGTTTCCCTTTTAGATATATTACCTCATTCCGCGAACTGAATTTTTGTCTTCTGTGAAATTACAATATGCTTTTTAATAAAAAATTCGAATATCTGGCATCCAGTATTCCGACACTTTCTATAATCTGGTACCATTTGTACCATTTCGCTTCGTCAGTACATATACTAAAATTGTAACGATACAGAGAAGATTAGCATGGCCCCTGCGCACCATTCTGAATTGTTGAATTTAACTCTAAGTGTTCCTCCAAGCAGTTCCATAATCATAGATTCTGAAAACAATGAAAGAATTAAATGAATTAAAGAAAACTAATGTATGAATTTAGAAGCATAATAACCCAAAAGCAGTGGGGAAGGAATGAGTCTTCAATATTTCATCAGTAATGTTTTGAATAGAAGCTAAACATTCGAAAACTGGAAGATCTTCATTCAAAATCAATACAGTAGATTCTAAACTGTAAATCGATTAAGAAAAGCAAACTACTGAAATTTTGCACCTTACCTTCTAGTACGTTTTCAGTCATCAATTGTATTTATACGGTTACTCTATACAAATCGTCTTTTAAACTTCTATATTCTAGCAATAAATTAAATTATGTTAACAAAACTGTTTTTTCTGCTTTATCTTAATTTGTTATATTTCATAATTGTGCATTAACGAAGTTGAAAACTTGCAAGATCATCCAACTTCTACTGTATTTAGGGATAAAGGTGTACTTGGTTCAGAAAGTAAAGTGAAATGAAAAGCATTGCTAATCACAGTTTTGAAAGTTCTCAAACTTAATGTTTGTTTTCTGTGCCTTTTGTATTATCTTAGTTTCGTCGTGTATATGTTGTTGTTGTCATTCCGAAAACATAAACATTTGCAAACTAATTAATTCGTCAGAAATGGCAAATACCGAGTATAAGCCGAGTTCGTTACAACGGGGGTTCGATTGTAGCTTATATCATACATGCACTTACCATTTTCTTTATCTGTTTGTAAGAAAATAGTGTTTTGTAACTAATAAATATCATCTAAAGATTTAATTAAAGAATTTGATATTTTTAATTCTTATTCTTATATTTTTAATTCTTATATTTCATTAATTCTTATTCTCTTAAAATTGGAGATTGAGTTATTATTTGTAATAGGTTTTCACGGTTGGAACCTATGTTATACTTTTTCCTGCGCATTACGCATGTTTTGCGCAATTTTGCTGAGAACGTATTTACCACGTAAAAAAGTAAAAGATATGCAATGAAATGAAACTGATTCTCAAGACTTTATCTCTTCATTGAGCTACTACAGAAAGTGTCTAAAACAATCCTCCTGATCAAGTCTACATAATCAAATTTCTTTCGCTCTCTATTTATAGTTCCAGCATTATTTTAATTGGATGTAAGTTTTAAAGAATTCATTTTAAATTAGAGTTAATATTTCAAACTCAGTGATGTTTTGACGTTCACCTAATGATCATAAGTAGTTAAAGTGACTTAAAGACCTAATTTGGGGCATCAGATTTCTGTCTGAACTTTGTGGGTAGTCCCTTCACTGTAAGGAATACCCCTTTGGGCTCTGCAGCAGCACGGCACGAATCCGGTGGCCGACAATAGCCGGAGTTACCGCATTGTTACAGGTGCACAACAACCTATCGAAGGGGCTAGCTGATTGGCACTTGACAGCCCTCGGTAATGAGTTTGCGAAAGCGATACAACTGCTCCCTTAACAAGACTTGAATTTTAAATAACACCTTCGGAAGAAGAAGGAGAAAAAATGCTCACCGAGGTCCGAAGTGATAGAAAAAGGGAAAAAGAAAAAATAAATAAATTCCTGCAATGTAGGCAGCACCGAGATTGAAATAACACACATACTGGAATAATAGCTTGGATTTCGTTCAAGACGCATTAATCTTGCAACAGACGCGAAAAACTCGCTCATTTAGCTCTTTATTTATTTTTTACCCTGCAGGTTTTGAATTAGTCTGCGCATTTAAATATAAATCATTTGCAATTTTAGTAGCCTTTAGAAGTTCCGATCATTATACGAAAAGAAGTCGCATTCTTCTGTTGACGAAAGCAGACTTTGACTCACTCTCGTGTTCACATGTGATCGTCTGGATTCAGTGCGACGTAAGTGGAATGACATTAATTTTTTTAATTAATGCGACACAAAGAGACGTAAACAAGGCAATTAAATCGATATATACTGGCATTTTAGTGTTCAGAAATTCTCATTTGCCAAGGTGAATAACACAAAGCGATGAAAGTTTCGTATTTATAAATAGGGCATTTAAAGATTATTTTTATAGCTTTTAACAAAGAGATGAATAAATTGTAAGTTCATTTTGATTAAATGATTTTCTATCATTAATTTTTATAATTGGATTTTAGGAAATAATCTTACAGCTTCTCAAATATTGCATTTACCTCTAAAATAAGACCTTTTCGAATATAAAATTTCTCACAAGTTAGTATGAAGTTTAAGAAATAAAAATGCAGATGAATATTTGATGACAGCATGGCTCTGATTTGAGTTCGTTTCTTCCTGATTAAAATGAAAAATACTCTACCTACTTAAATGCAATATTTTACTAAAGTATGGAATCTGAAAACTTAAGATTGTAATATAACAGAACAAAAAGTTGGCCATTAAGCTTTCAAAGAGATAGAAAAGTATTTAAAAAATATAAAATATAAAAATTATAAAATAATAAAGAAACAGCAGTATGCTGATTTCGGTTTTTTAACACCTAAAATAATTTACCTAATAGATTAAGAATTATTTCTTCAGAAATAAAGATGAAGAATTTCAGTTTTTTATTTAAAATCAGTTCTTCAAAATGACAAAGAGTAAACATCGAAGAAATTTCTATGACATTATTTCATCGCATATTAAAACGATGTGGAAACTTGGGCACTTAAATAAAAAATAAGTTAAGCAATATGTAGCTGTACATTTTTTTACTGGATTACTTACATCGCGAACATTTCCTTCAAGTAATAACGCTTTCTGTTTTACCATAACATGAAATCCTTGAAATCAAAATATAAATACCTCAAAAATCTTTCTTTCAATGTGTTAAAAAGTTTTCAGTATCAAAAACCTGCGTACTGAAATCGTTTTAATATATTGAAACAGACAAATACCATATATTGGCACGAATATATGACAGCCTAACATATAAGAACATATAAGAAAACCCTATGCTTTTGAAATTTTTACCAGGAAAAGTAGGACTGCCCTACTAGACGGCCGTACATGTGTGAGTCTGATATGAAAGTACTCTTCATACAAAATAAAATTAAATGGGTGCAATGGCCCAGAATACTTGAAAAGAATACCATATGATGTTTTCGAGTAAATTTAAAGGATAAGAGATAAATTATTTTAACATGTATTTTTAAATGATAAGTAAGTATAAGACGTATAAGTTAAGTAAAGTTTTCACAAACTCATTTATAGGAGAAAAGTATCCTTTTATATTTTGGTCAATATGCATCGTTAATTAAAACAGTATCTCTTCCCTCATTCAGTGGCATAGCTAGAGATTTTATCGCCCACCGCGATAACTTAATTTGCCGCCCTTCTTGATATACAAAATCCTAATTTAATTCCATATGGCAATTCAAAGCCTTATGAAACCTTCACTTGCCTCTACGATTCACATGTCTAAAATAATATTTCCCGCGAAAAACGCAGCGTTCAAAAATATGCCATCCTCTTTAGCTACATCACTGCACCGTTCTTTTGAATGATAGGTTTTAACATTTATTTTAAATTTGGCAAATTGTCTACGAATCATTAAACAAGCATTCTAGAAGTCCTATTCCATTTCAATACACAGGCGTTTTAATGCTTTACTTCATAACTTACTTTTACACTACAGGTGCAGATTCAATCAAGCCATATATTGTATACAAAACCGTCAAGTAATTAAGCAGTTTTCTCACAGCGAAATTTTAACTTTTGCAAATTGTAATTAGCAAACAATCTGTTAAGACGTACGTATTTTATGGACAAAATAAATATTCTTCGTGGCAAATAACTTTTGCCTTGCAAAAAGTATGTTTTGTATAAAAATGCGTTAAAATTAATATTTTTAAAATTAAAAAAATTCTTTATAATCACTCATTTCTTCCAATGAAACACAGAATTAACGAGAAACTTTACAATTGTATAATTATATAATTGTAGCAAAATAGAATGTATGCAGACCTCTTAGTAATACAGTACCAATTACCACTCTCATTAGGGAACAAGGATATGGTATAGTCTTGCATACGCTTGACTTCCATCACCCGTAAGTCTTTAATTTATTCCTTTATGAAAATAATTATTTTAGCGTTTAAATTTTAACAAAAATATTAGATATAATTTTTAAAAATATATTGGATATAATTTTAACAATATATTCGTTACACTTTAGTTCTTATTTTGTAAAACCGCTGTTAAAGATGAGCACAATATTCGCAATGAGTAAAGCTACTGGTACGATGGCAAGAGATTCCTTTAACTGACAATACTATTATACTCTTTATAGCACAAGTTCTTCATTTACTTGATGCATTGAAGTGAATTCAATTCCTAAGACACAAAGTCTTTATTTTATCTTAAATTGGCAAAGCAACTTTACATTGAATGACAGTCAAACTCTCCAAATTTACTGTAGGCTAAATCCTATCTGAGTTCTGAGGTGTGAAATTCTAGATGGATTGATTAGAGGTCAAGAAAGAAATGATGTCTTCAGTTCTGAGAATCATAGCATTTCCAGACTTTCCAATGTCTGATTTATTTCAGACGGGAAATTGACTTAGTTCAGTGTTGCTGTTTCATTATTCAATACATTTCAGAGCATACTGAATGACAGCTTAAACATTTTGTAATATGTTGTCCGTTCTATTTATTTCAGATTGTAAATTTTGACATGCATGTAAATGAAAAAATATTTTTACAGTTAAAGATACTTCTTGACTCTTGACAACGAATGGGAGCATTCAGACTTGAAATAATCGACTATCTTTTCACTCTGCAGATAAAATTGCTGGTCAAATGAAGACATCACTGCTGCAGTTGTCAAATTAAGAAGGAAAGCATATCACAGTTTCATCGCTTAACAAAATAAGTAAAATCCAATATTTCAGATTCGTTTTCGGTTACTTTTTAAAATTTATTTGCCTAGATTTTAAAATTTTTTTAAAATTTTATTTGCCCAAATTTTTTAAATTTATTTAAATTTATTTTTTTTAATTATATTAAATTA